ACTTGGTTAAATATGGCCTTGTCTGTACCTTCAGAAATCGCTCACAGCCACACCCTCCCCTACATAAGTACTGAAGGCTCATCCCCTCATCATGAACTTTAGCTGGAGAGCCCTCTTCCTTGTGACAATGGCTATAGGTAAGGTGATCCCCAGTCCCAGATTTGTGGAGGGAAACGGGGACAGTCAAGGGATATTTCCACCCACTCCTCTCTTTTCTCCACAGGTGTCCACTCCCAGGTGCTGCTGGTGCAGTCTGGGGCTGAGGTGGGGAGACCTGGGTCCACAATGAAGATCTCCTGCAAGGCTTCAGGATACACCTTCACCAGCAGCACCATGCACTGGGTTCAACAGGCCCCAGGACAAAGGCTTGAATGGATAGGGCGGGGTTACCCAGGTTTTGGTAATGCAAACTATGCACAGAATTTCCAGGGCAGAGCCACCATTACCACAGACAAGTCCACAAACACAGTCATCCTGGACCTGAAGAGACTTAGAACTGAAGACACAGCCATGTATTACTGTGCAAGAGACACAATGAGGGGAAGTCAGTGTGAGCCCAGACACAAACCTCTTTGAAAGACACAGTAGGCTTGGGCTGCAGGGAGAGCTCAGGGCCCACCGACCATAAATAACCAACCCAGGAGCAGGTGTGGGCCTGGTGGGGAAGGAAGGGGCTTCCCCTTAGGAGCAGGATTTCCTCTCAGTGCTCTCAGCAGCATCCAGTGACACTTTTTTCCTTTTTTGTGGCTCTCATTTCACACATTCTCAGTGCAGACAGCAAAGGAAGAAGCGCTAATGTTTGCATGGGAGAATCCACCCCATGCCTGGAGACATTTCCTTCACTGCACTCCTGTGTGTCTTTTCCCTTTCTTGGCAGTGAACCTTCCTGAGTGCTCTCACCTTCCTGCTTCTTGGAAACATCCCCTGCAAGGAAGGACACTGCTCTGTCCAGGCCCCTGTGTGCTGAGCTCAGTCTCTCTGTCCCCAAACATACACACAATATCCTCACACATCTCCTTCCTACAGATAGGCACGTCTTCCACTGCAGTTGTGATCGCCTTAAGACCTTCACTGCTCAGGTCTCTGTTCTCCCTGCCACACATTACCCTCTTGTTTCTCATTTACTGGGTGGATGTGGAAACACTCTCCAACATAATCTACTGTCACTTACTTACCTAATTATCCTTAGCTTTAACCTTTACCCTTCTAACTCCTCCTTGTTCCCCTCAACATGACCTGTCACAGCAAGAAATTTAAATAAAAGTGTGCACAGTCACGTGTCCCAACGTCATCTCCTAAAGACTCTCGAATGTGTCTATCCATTAAGAGGTCCCCTGGTCTTTGCATTTGTGGGAATTTTTGGCTCTTCAATTGCATAGGACATACCTGTGTAGCATGGAGGAAACATGTAATTTCAGGAAGGACCCATGGATATGAGAAACGATGAAGTGACTGCTGGGAGGATGGTGTTATGAGATGTGTTAATGGTCATAATGAAATATAATAATTTAATATACTAATTAAAATTAAAATAAAATTCTAATGCATACAAAATTTTTATTTTTATGAATTTCATATTGTACTGTAAGATATTATTTTATTGGAAACACTTTAGATAATGAAGGAGCCTGGCTGTCCAGCCCCATAAGCCTGCTGAGAGGATGATGTCTGCCACTCACATGGCTCAGCCTGCACATGCTGTGCCCTTGTCTGAAGGGTGCAGAAGTAGACAAGAATGACGATGCACAGGCTCTCTCAGAAGACAAAAAAGCACTGTCAGTCTCAGTCACTCCTGTGGGACAGAATGTCACTGATGGATTGTAGACCAGACATGGGGAAGGGTGTTCTCCAGGTTAACACAGGTGTCATTAGGCAGACAGTGGGCCACACACTCAGCCCACCACACATTGACATGCATATTGTGAGAAGACCACTTTGGTAGGAAGGAGCCCCTCCATCACCTTCAACCTGATGTGTTAGAGAAGAAGTGGCTGCCTACAGACTGAGGATGTCCTCAGTCCTCAGGAGCTTGATTGTGAGGACCTTTCAGGAAGTGGCCATAAAGGAAACTGAGACAACAGACCCTAATCACAGGACAGGACGCTACAGGTCCAGGCCAGCTGCTGACCTGGTCTCCCTTGAATGCCATAGTCTCAGGCCCAGGGAGGGCTCTCAAAAACTTGCAAATGCTGTAAAAACACCACCATGCAGTTTTCAAGATTCATATTGGAGAGACTGGGGAAAATGCCCACACCTCTTTCTCCCCTGTGATGCACTGCAGGGGCCCATCACACATGGAGAAATGTTTACTTCAGCTCTGCAGTTGGTCAAGGTGATTTTTTACAGATATTTCTTCTTTGTTGCCTGTGGTTGCCCAGGGGTCAGAAAGCTTCTTAGTTTTCAACAGCTGTCACTTCCTTGGCTGCAATGTTCTTGAGAGTTTACACATTGGTGGCCACCCAGGAAAGGATGGAAGCCAGGAATACATGCGTGTGCCCAAAAGTACCCTCAACTATACCACAAACCTATCACTCTATGCCACTGCCCACATTCTTCTTGGAGGTGGACCATTGCCCACCATTCCCCGGCATCTCTCTGGGTGATCTGTGAAGGTTCCCAGCCTTCACAGAAGTGGCAGTTCTTTTTATTGTAACAAATTCCACTGAGGTTGTATTTTGAAAGTAGACACTTATTGTTTACAGCAGCCACAGTGACATTGCATGAGTTGTTGACACAGAACTTCCCACCACCACAGGGTATACCAGGTCCCACATGACCAACATAACTTGTCCTTTTCTCAGGCTGTAAATCCACCCCAAAACACAAGGACACCTCTATCAGAGTCACATAGAATCCAACATGTTCCTGCTACTGAGGCAGGTGTGTGATGTCCGCACTCTGTAGGTATCTACAGCTAACATCAGAGTCACCACACTCAGTAGTTTGTAGGGGTGATTACATCTACACTGTCCAATCAGTGTCCCTTTGTATTTATGCTATACCTTGTGTCTGGGCCATTCATGCACCTTCAGCAAAAGACTCCCTGCTGTGTGTAGAGTGGTCAGTACCATTCCCATGACAATGGTAGTCATTTGGTGCACAGGGTTCCAAGTTGCAGATAAACAATTTCAGGGCATATGGAGTTTGGTTCGATATTGCACTTTGGAAGGTTACATGAGTTTTTTATTAGCCTGCAGAGCATCTGTGAGGGAGAGTAAGTGCAATATCTGTAACATCTGCCTGTGTTACAAAAGCACTTCCAGATGTAAAGCTGCAGTCACTTCTGCTATATTGGTTGCTGTCACATGGCTTGAAGGAACCACAGTCACAAAGCTGTCCATCATTCACCACAGAATTTTCACTTCAAGCAAATGTTATACTTTTGTTTGAATAATTGGATTTACTCTGGGAGCTTCAGTGTTTTCCTCTTAACCATATTTTCTGTATGCACTTTGGACCATTTACTGAAGGTTTCAACCAACACAGGGTACCTGGCCCTGACATGGGTGGCCCTCCTCTGGGAAACACAAGTTTCCTTGTGACAAAACAGAACAAAACTTCTCAAGATTAATTGACTGTCTATAACTGATAACAATAAATAATGTTTTGACAGAACACTCAGCAAGAGGAGGCTAGTATTTTTACGTAAACCATATATAAATGGAGTGAAGCCAAGTTCATAGGCCCCGTTTCTAATCACAGTTAATGGTTAATGTGGCTGAAGAGGATTATAAATGTTGGCTACAAAATTGTCATAGAATGGAGTCCCTGGCACCACCGGTTTGCCCATGGCTGTTCGCTAGCTAACATTATAAATTATTATGATGCTGTTGTAGTACCTTACATGAATACTTTCTATCATGCAGTCAAGTAAACTACTTAGACTTACCAGAATTTGGGCACATTTTGAGACATTGTTGTACAGACTGGAAACTCATAAGAGACAGCCTTTTATATGTCTTAGGTGGTTTTCATAGACCTCACTGCTGAGCCTGGAGACTGCACTGGAATTTGCTTAAGAGACTGGGTTGGGGGCTCTCCTCTTTTACCCCATCGTATACATGGGCCCCATTGCATTGGAGTCTGCCACTGCCTGAGGAACTATGTGTTCAAACCTTCAGGAACACTTTAGGGGTTGGATTTCATAAGCTAGGTCAACCAAATTCTTCATACCTTTCAGTCCCCATAACATATGTCCATGGTGACCGTAGAAAGAAGAATTCATCCAGAGAGCTGAAGAAGTAATAGTTGAGGGGAACCAAGGGGTAATCCATGTGCAAGGCTCTTTGGTCAACCTGAGTTATCATCACCAGTTGTCCGGGCCAGAACCTTTTCTTGTGCCACGTATGGATGAAGTGTCTCTGGCCCCTTAAACTCAGTCTCTAGGACAGCAGCCTTACCGTGGTGAAGCTTCTTCTTGGAATCACCACCTCACAGGACATGTAGCATCATGAAGGATAACTTTGAGAATGCTGGGCAGAGCCAATGTCACCTTGAGCCCAAGAATTAAGAGAAGTGTCCTCAGAATAATTGAGTGGAATGGAGAAAGGGAGGATTCTCAGTGAAGTCAGGACCAAACCATCTGCAGTGGTCACTGAGTACAAAGGAGATAATGACAGAATATGTACCCTGGGTGTGGCAGCTGAGAGGACAAGGAAACAGATACAGGGTGTGTGGCAGAGGGTGGGGCTGGGCATGAATCTACCTGGGAAGTCAGAGTGAGCCCAGACAGTGACTTCCCTGAGGGAAAGACAAGGACTGGGCTGTAAGGGGCGCTCAGGACACCTGGGAACACTCAGAACACAAGGCCTAACATAAAACTCTAGGGTTTTTTTTCAGAACAACAGGGGCATCAATGCTACTATGTAGAGGGGCCCAGCTGAGAAGATGGTTACTAGGGGTTGCTTAAGGGCTCCCTTTAGGGGTCAATGATTTCATCCCGTTTTAATGTCCCCTGAGGCAATGTCTGCTTCATTTTATGTGTTCTGTAATCTCTTTACATTCGCTGCCACAAAACAGTAGAAAGAAACTAGGTAGGAGCCATGGTTCCTTGGTCATCTGGGCCCTCGTTGTCACACTATCTCTGTATGGTCTGGTTCTCCTGGCTGACAAATGAAACATGTTAGCCATTCTCACTCTCCCTGCCTGAGGATGATCCCTCCACACCAGTGCAGTGCTGAGCCAGCAGCTCTGAGTCCATGTGCTGAGTCACACTCTCTTCTTCACGCAGTGCAGAATACCCTGCATGAGAATGATCAGACCCACAATTCCTTTCCCCTGAGGATCCCTGGTCTCTTTGGGGGTGGTGAACCACTTTCTTCACCCCCAATGGCTGCATATTGAGGTTCAGTTTTCAACCCCTTTTGTTACTTTCATCAGTGTCCTGGAAGAAGAAGCAGCACTGAGTCTGTGGACAGAGCAGCTTTCAGTGTGTTCTCAAGAGGGAGTCAGGATGTCAACACAGAGATGGAGCTCTGTCACAGTGCTGCTGGGAAGTGTTCTGAGTGGGTCTCTGAACACAATCCTAGGGGAGAGTCCTGCAAAGTGTCTTGGCTTCATCCAGCAGATAAACTCCG